CGGAGTAGCACCTCTATGTCATAGAGTCCAGTGGCACTGCTTTCAGATGCTTAGGTACAACCCTGTGGATGAGGACGCCGCTGCTGTGGAAAGAAATTTGCTAAATAATACATGATGGAGAACTTAGAAGATATCCGATGAGCCTACCTTGCAGTTCAAGCGCGCACATGTATGTGAAAGAAAGTGCTTCGGCTAATATTGAGACCTGGGAGCGGCCAAACGCCCCGAGAAGGGTCAAGACGAGCGTACGCTCAATCCGTAAGGGGACGACGTTGAGGGTGTTTCGTAGCAGTGACCAGAGTTGGTGCAGTGACCACGAAGCCATCTATTTTTGGATCAGTGTTCTTTTCGCTGCGTTCTTCACCTCCGTTTTGTTCGAGCGCACAGATGGAAATTTTAATTTTGCGAGGGGAGAATGAAGCTACACCGTTTTCTCATCGGTTTCGCGCTAGTTGGCTTGACGCTCATCAACAGACGCCTTCCTGGTGAGTTCAAGTTGTCTCCACCGTTCATTGCTCACGAAACTTAGCAGTCCTTTAATTGCCCCCGTCATCTAGCGTCAAGCCTTCCCGCACATCAGGAAAAAAAGTAGTTGCGACATCGCACAACATAGTCCTGATAGCTACAGTAGCACCTTTGCAACCCCCCCTTTATATAGCACCCCATAGCATCACCATCAGTTTATATAGCACTATAATTACATATATAGCCTTACCTGCTCACGGCATAGCTCCCCATGGTATCATATTAAGGAAGTCCTGTAGTTGTACATAGACAGTATTGCACGAGATAGCACATATAGAAATCCCCTTAGAATGAATGCAGAATAGATATATATTTCAGTTTACAAACAGCATCTACGAAGGATTACTACATGATGCTAGTCAATAAGCAATGTCACCATCACCGCCTGTCTTCAAACTCTCCTCGTGCTCCCGGTGTTGTCCCGCGGCGCGGACACCACCTTTGAGCGCCCAGGTCACGTCCCGCCCTCCATTCCGGAACGATGCGACGACACTCCAGAAGCTGACGGCGATCAGGGCGCCTGTGATGGAGGCAGCAATGAACCCTGCGAGGGACTTGCGCGGTGTGAGGGGAAGGCGGAGGATGGGAAGGTGTGTTGGGAGCTTGCATGTGTTGAAGCCGTAGAGGTGGTCGAATGTAAACGCAGCTGTGTCGGCCCATGAAAGACTAGAATGAGGGAGGTTAGGCAGTGGGTAGGAGGGGTGAGGAGGGGGATACGTACATGAGGATGGCTACAGTTGTGACATCTTGTGGGTATAGCGAGAGGACAAAGACTAAAGTTGACTCCGAGGATCCACGCCGTTTGTTGAGTTCTGTGAAGGACTTAGCCTGAAATGTGATGACGGAGGAAGAAGCATGAGCTTACCTTTTCGCTTTCCCACATGAGAAGGAGAGGGTGTACATGTGTTGGGCGTTAGCGGTGACATGCAGGAACTGGGGGCGCTGCTCGTGACGGTGGTGTTCTCAAGTGCTTGTTTCGCGTGTTTTCGAGTTGACAGAAAGAAGGTGGCAAAGACGAACATCGTCGTTTTGGGGGGGAAAGCGTAGAGGGGTATGAATGGAGAGACACTGGGTGTCAGTTGAGGTTGTATGATGAGGTTGGGTGGGTGTGGTGGATTGATTATGTCGTATCAGTTGCAATGTCAACCGCGGTCGTCGACGGTGGCTCTCTGGGTGGCCACTGATCATCACGACATGATCGAGAGACATTTGTATATGTTGAACGAAAGCCACATGACTGCCGTTGTTGAAAGGGAGGGGTTGTAGGAGAGGCAACAGACGAAGACACGATTGTGGTTGGACTTTAGGCGATGTGTATGAGGCGGGATAGGTTGATTGAAAGCCGAACAAGGATTGTTGGAAAGGGGGGGTGACAGGCGAGCGGATAGGGCATTCTGATTCGAGCAGGTGATGGGGAAGAAAGGAAAGAACGAGACAGAGATGAAGATTTTTCAAAGATCTTCAACCATCATGTGACCGGATCGTGAGCCAATACAAATTACAACTCCGATTATCCGATGGTCGTGCGCAGTCGTGCGCGCGAATTTTTGTCCAAGTCACATAGTATGTTTGATCAACCCCCCGAACTTCGTACTAGCATGCCCGGCTCTCGAATTGCTTGTAGGCTCTCGAATTGCTTGTAGATACATTTTCTGTTTACTGCATCCCAAGCCATTAATTGATTGAGTATGAAAACCTAATAGTAAACTGTCTATGAGAGGCTTGTAGCACTGATAGCCACTGTAGTGCATGGCAGCAGCTACAGACCCGATGATAGATGTGGCGGCACATCTGTCAGCCCTATTGCACAACACGGTGGACCGACGGTCTACAGACAACAATCAGCACGATGCTGAGATCTGCCAAGCTATTGATGTCTACAACAGGTTCGATCGGCTACTGATTTAACCGGAGATCTACCGGCTAAAACTTTTTTTCCTGATGCATGGCATGGAGCATCCTCACCATCCTCCCATTCCTGAACTTTTGCATCGTCTCAACTCAAGACCCTAGATGCAACTTGCTGACACGCGACCTTGTGTTTGGAATTTGAACTTGGCCGGCAAGATGTCCTTTGGGGTTTGTTCGATCCGGATCTTGTCTTCTGACCTGAACGCGGACCTTTGTTTTGTCTCCAGTTGGCCTCGAAAGGTATCTTGAACAACCACCGGTAAGAATTTCGTCTGTTTTTACTACGAAGGATGCTCATACCTATTTTTCAATCAGGACTCGTTGCCTCGAACCTGTGATGAAAAATCGTCCTGCAGCCACGCTTAGTCTTCCGATGCCACAGAAAGTAATAGAATTGCAATTTATCGAACCGATATCGGGAAAGAATTGCTGGGTATGTATCTCTGCGCTCTATCCATACATATCTCCCAAATGATTCAAACCCGCCTCCAGACACCGTTTCCAAGTGAAAGACTCGCTGTTTGCAATATCTCCGGACGAAGGAAAGGTGATGGCATTTTACTTGTTTTGTAGCCTCCATTTGATTCCCATTGTCTCTACCAGTCTTCAAGGTGATCAAAGCCTCACGCGGGTGTTCCGAAACACGCACTCAGATACATGCTAATGATTTTAAAATTGCC